CCCCCTGAGCACACACCCTCCCCCCCTCTGTCTCCTCTATCCCCAGGCGCTTAGCTCTCTGCTCAAGGGAGCGGAAACAGAGAGGTTTAGTCACCTCTCCCCAATCCCTGCCCAGCCCGGGAAATTTAAACCCCTCAACGGTCTCATGGCTGCTTCTAGCCAATCAGGAGACAGGGTTCGGCTATAAATTGCGCCCAGCAGCGGCGAAGCGCTCATTGCTCTGTGGCTGGACTGGAGAGAGGTTACTGACGTGCTGCAGCGAGGATGGCCCGTACCAAGCAGACGGCTCGTAAATCCACCGGCGGCAAAGCGCCCCGCAAGCAGCTCGCTACGAAGGCAGCCCGGAAAAGCGCCCCCGCTACGGGCGGTGTGAAGAAGCCCCATCGCTATCGCCCCGGCACCGTAGCGCTGCGGGAAATCCGCCGCTACCAGAAATCCACTGAGCTGCTGATCCGCAAACTGCCCTTCCAGCGTCTGGTGCGGGAGATCGCCCAGGACTTCAAGACGGATCTGCGCTTCCAGAGCTCGGCCGTCATGGCCCTGCAGGAGGCGAGCGAGGCCTATCTGGTGGGGCTCTTCGAGGACACCAACCTGTGCGCCATCCACGCCAAGAGAGTCACCATCATGCCCAAGGACATCCAGCTGGCGCGCCGCATCCGCGGGGAGAGAGCCTAGAGCCGCCCCCCTCGGAGCCCGCCGGCTCCCGACAACCCCCCAAAAGGCTCTTCTAAGAGCCACCACGTACCCACGCGAAAGAGTTGAAACCCATCCTGAACTGCCTTATTAATCTGGATTAAATACCCAAGTGCCTTCTCCAAAGACGGTATCCGTTTAGTGCAACACTTGTGATACTCCGCTTCCTCTAATGTCGCAATTGGGTAGTTCTGCAACTGCGAGTTTATCACAAATATATAGGAAACGTTTGAGTTTAATCTCTGACTGGCCATACAAAGCAGTACCCGCCCTTCTTAAACCTCTTCCCTGTAGCGGAAAGAGTTCAGGACAAACCTGACCCTTTTCATTTTAAAACGCCCTAGTTTAAAAACGTGGCTTCTCCAATGCTCAACCCGTCATGTCCAGACCATGGTATTCAGGGAACAAGAAAACATAAAGGCGAATAATTGGCCGATACAGTAATAACTGAGGGGGGTTAGAGAAAGGAAGTGACTACAGTGAGTTTCTCTAGGGGGAGAAAATGAATCAAATATTTTATCACCATTTTGTTTCTGGCTTGTTTTCAAACCTCGTTCGAAACCGGGCCTGAGTGAAGATTCAGAGTCGGTTTGAGCACAAAGTTCTGGCTCCGGATTGGCAGCTTCTCTTTTGTTTGGAGGAAAGGTGTTTGGTTTGGTGTGAATAAAAGTAGCCATTTTATTCAACGCCGCCTCCTTCACGAGAGGGTGGGTTGATAGGCAAGTGACTGGGGAGGGGTGAGCTAATTGCAGAAGCTCATTAATTAAGCCCCTCGCCGGTCCGCTGCCCGCCACGGGTGCCCCCAACTTCAATCAACCCACCCTGAGAAGTTGGTGTAGACTCGAGGCTTCTAAACACTGTCAGTCTCCAACCTCCCAACAAACCGCCTGAAACACGGCACCTCCTTCCCTTCTGCCAGCACCCCTCTCTAATCCGGTGCCAGCCCCCGAGGGGAATGGGGGAAAGGAAAGGGAGTGACCGTGTCTGTCTGCGGGGTGTTCTATTTCCTCCCGGAACTCAACCCCACCAGCAGGGAGGACACAGAAGCCGGGGGAGGGAGAGGTGCTCTCTCTGCTGTCAGGGTCTAGCCTTGACTAGATCCGGGCATTTACTCTATTCCCTCGGTGGCGAAGTGCTAAAGCCCGGCTGGGTCTGAATTCGTTTTAGCTGAGCGGAGGGAAGCGGTTTGTGCTGCGTGTGTTCACACGGAGCAGGGTATGCCGACTCCTTGCCTTGTACACCGAGTTGTAGAGACCAATCACCATCTCCTCCCTGGTGGTCTAGTGGTTAGGATTCGGCGCTCTCACCGCCGCGGCCCGGGTTCGATTCCCGGTCAGGGAAGGATTTTTTTCTTTTTTTTTTTTAACCCTGCGGCATATTGTGCAGAACAAGTCAACCCACAACCCCCCACATCGCCTTGCAGGGGCAGCCACGCGCTTCTCCAGCCACGCGCATGCCCTGGGTTGCAGCCCCGCAAGACAGGCAGGTGCAACTGGAGCTGGGTTTGTTTGCTGGCCACAGAGGCCCGTGTTTCAAAGCAGAAAAAGCCGGGGCCCGGACTGGCTTCTCTCGCAATAGACTCGTGCCGGTGAGCGGCTGGTTTGCAAAGCGCCGGGCCCCATAAAAGTGGAAGCGGGGCCCACACCAGCGGTTAAAGGTTTGTCTAATGAAAAGGCACCGCTGGGATTCGAACCCAGGATCTCCTGTTTACTAGACAGGCGCTTTAACCAACTAAGCCACGGCGCCGGCTTGCGAAAGTGCCTGCAACTTCCCCTTTCATGCCAAGCAGCTTCATTTCCGCATTTGTCTCATTTGTGCAAATAAGTGGGTGAGCTGCAAGGAGAGAATCCGAGTTTTTGTATTGTGCCCGAGATCTCAACCCCTTCTCTTCGTTATAAACACTTGTGAATCCTCCCCTCGTGACTATGGACATAAAATTCCCTCCTAGATGGTTAGCTGGTCGGGGAAGAATCCAACTGGCAGAGTTTCTGGGACACAAGGACTGATAAATAATATAATAACTTTATTCTGTGTTGAAATATTGCTACAGTACTTTTTAAATCCCTCAGTAACTGGTATCTGAGCCCGTGCTAGTAACACAGCTCTGTTTCTGCCTCCTTCCCTTGCCAAAGAAAGGCCTTTTGATAGGTGAGGGCCCATCCCTTTTGATGGCACCTGGCTAGAGGAGTCAATTTGCCCTTTGTTTAAGGCCTGCTTGAGCAGATCTGCCTAATCCAGGCCAGGTAGGTTTGCACCCGTGCCACCCGCGTCATCCTAACTTCACGTAGCAGGGTGCTGCACACCGTCTTCAAATGACACCGCGCAAGGCATAGTTGGTACAAAGATTAGTACAATCGTGCGTAGGGTGCAGAGGTGCTGAAGCTAGGAGGGCTACCGCACCCCCTGGCTCGAAGTGGTTTCCAGCACATACAGGGTTTCCACTTTGGTTCAATGGGTATCAGCACCCCGACTATACAAATTGTCCCTGGAGCCAAGGGTCAGAGCCAGCGTCAGGAGTTCAAGTGCCAGCCAGTGCATCATTGGCAGGAGAAGCCATCTTGTCGCATTCCTGGGCTTAAATAGAGTGCTTGGACCAACCAAGAGCCAGAACAGAAGTTGTCAGTCTGGCCTTCCAGCAATATATCTTGTGGTATTTACCGTCACAGGATCTGTGCAGACTAATGTGATCAGACAGCAAGTGTGAAAAATCGGGACAGGAGGTGGGGGGGTAATAGGAGCCTATATAAGAAAAAGACCCAAAAATCGGGATGGTCCCTATAAAATCAGGACATCTGGTCACCCTAGTGCAGTCATATGGGTAACCCCCACCATGGCGGCTAGGTAGTGCTACAGAGGTATTACTCGTCCCCCAGCCCTGCCTTTTAGCTCCCATTCTCCCGTCTTCTCCACCACACACTGTTAGTACCTGTTGGTAAATATGAATCCTTTCCGTTCTTTCTTGCTGCATATTTCATCCACGTATATAGTAACTATTCCTTAGAATCTCTGTCTTCAACAAAGAGTATGTGTGAACTTGAAGGCTCAGAACACTGGTCCTTGACCAACAAGTATTCAGGAATTTTATCTATAATACTGTATCTGAAACAATCTTGGGCACCTTCGTGTCTATACAATTCCAGCAATTCTTGGAAACCATCTTCTTAACACGTGTGTGCGTTCATAAGAACATAAGAACGGCCAGACTGGCTCAGACCACAAGTCCATCTAGCCCAGTATCCTGTCTGCCGACAGTGGCCAATGCCAGGTGCTCCAGAGGGAGTGAACCTAACAGGTAATGATCAAGTGATCTCTGTCCTGCCATCCATCTCCACACTCTGACAAACAGAGGCTGGGGACACCATTCCTTACCCAGCCTGGCTACTAGCCATTAATGGACTTAACCTCCATGAATTTATCCAGTTCTCTTTTAAACGCTGTTATAGTCCGGCCTTCACAACCTCCTCAGGCAAGGAGTTCCACAAGTTGACTGTGCACTGTGTGAAGAAGAACTTTCTTTTATTTGTTTTAAACCTATTAATTTCATTTGGTGACCCCTAGTTCTTGTATTATGGGAATAAGTAAATAACTTTTCCTTATCTACATTCTCCACATCACTCATAATTTTATGTACCTCTATCACACACACACACACACACACACACACACACACACACACACACACACACAGCTGATATATACATATATAGATTTGGGAAACTAATATGGGATGATTGTTACAGCCAGTGTTTTCTGATGTGGAATCAACAGAGAAGAAAGACTGAAAAAAATGGGGTTTAGTCTGGAGAAGAGAAGACTGAGCGGGGACATGATAACAGTTTTCAAGTACATTAAAGGTTGTTACAACTGGAGGAGGGAGAAAAATTGTTCTTCTTAACCTCTGAGGATAGGACAAAAAGCAATGGGTTTAAATTGCAGCAAGGGAGGTTCAGGTTGGATATTGGGAAAAACGTCCTGACTGTCAGGGTGGTTAAGCACTGGAATAAATCGCCCAGGGAGGTGGTGAAATCTCCGTCATTGGGGATTTTTAAGAGCAGGTTGGACAAACACCTTTCAGGGACGGTCTAGACAATACTTAGTCACGCCATGAGTGCAGGGGACTGGACTAGGCGACCTCTCGAGGTCCCTTCCAGTCCTATGATTCTATGATTGTGGGGTAAGAAGGATTATCTTGCAGAATTGTTAGTCCTCCAAGCTTCACACAGGCCTTCACACACGACTCAGGCAAACTAAGAATGCATAGAAAGGACATATGTTTCTGGGAGAATATTCTTGGCAATGAGATTTCCTTTGTCTGAAACCCTATAATGATACTGATATGGGAATTTAGTGTGTGTGTGTGGGGGGAGCGGGAGGAGGAAGTAAAGTGCCCGTCGCTTCCAGATGCGGGCAAGACACAGATCCAGCTCTTAGTCTGACACCAAACGGTGGTAAATTATCTATTTCTTTCTGTAATCTGGGTAGGGCTGTACTAATCTCTGACTGATTATTTTAGATTAAATATTTCTGATTGAGCCTGTTATTTTGACAATCCTGAGTCGTGAACTCAGACAAGCAACAACCCCTTCTT